TTCGATTTAAGACGGAGACTCTAGGGAAAGAAGTTAATATTCTATTTCAGCATATATACTTGCTATAAATACAATCTCAGCTGCAGTATTGTAGTATTAGACTTTTCATAAAACCTTTGTAAAATATACCTGAAGTTAATATTAAATTTGTATAGTGTTTCGGTTTTTGTCCATGATTACATGCTTTATATACTTAATTTGTATTGTATGATTGACCTACCTTTCTCCATGATTGAGGGACTTGACTAATTTTTTCTCATATAAAGAACATATTAATTACTTAATATTTCTGTAAGATTGTCGATTATATTTACAACTATTATTATTTTAGTTGTAGGTAAGCATACTTACATATGTTCTAGTTTATTTAGATGGAAGCCATTTGTTTACAGATTTGATGGGGAAAGTAACCTTTACTTTGCTCTGTCCTTAGCTTTTAATATAAATGTAGTGTACACACATAATTGCTTATTCCACATGTTAACACCGGTCTTAGTGGAATCAATTTAAGGTTTATTTCATTTAATATTGAGAGGATTTATTTATTTAAGTTATTCATTGAAATTACAGTGCTCAGAATTAGTTTTCGACTTAATCATTATTTCGAGATCATTGTGAATTCATTCAAGGATGTTTAGGATCAAATCATTGTGATTCATCAATATTACTTTTGCTATATCAGTACTTTAAAGACTGGAGTTTATTTGGAACACCATTGGAATTCATTCAGTATACTCTTTGCTTTTGGACATGTCATAAAACTATTTAGGACTTTGGGGATTTAATTTACAATACTGTAAGTTCTTTTGAAAATTTTACTTTGTGTTTTATGGAAATAAATTATTTGTTGAATTTTACAAAACCTTTTGGTTTTCCCTCTTTTCTATTAACTAGTGTAAGATCAAGGACTGGTATCACCTACTACAGTTGCGAAAGTGGTTAGTTACCAAAATTGTATCCAAGTAGGGCTACATGTTCTTTTCAAAAGGATTGAAAAAATGAAACCTTTACTTGGCTTACATTAGTAAACTTATACAATATCATGCACGCTCCAACATACTGTCTTCTTTGATTGTAATATCATTGGGACGGGTCGGCAATTTTTTCCCTTGCTTTACTAAGAGTAAAATTAATAATGCAAATTAAGAAACCTCTCAAATAGTTTACAAAATATATATTCATCATATATCAACATAACGTTAAAAAAATAAGGAATCTCAGAAAAAATATAAACCACGTCTGCTGGAAACACTGCAGACAGAATTAGTTTGCCAAATACCGTAATAAAAGCGTGCACTGCATGATAGTTATATATATATATATATATATATATATATATATATATATATATATATATATATATATATATATATATATATATATATATATATATATATAATTAAAATTCACACTTGCTTACCTCCACCCCACCCCTGACACAATGCCTTAAAATCAAGGCGTTTTTCTTTTATATTGGAATAAACAGAAGAACAAATTATTTGGCAAATGTCAACAAGAGAATAGCAAACAAACATAAGGCACCTTTAACACGTAAAATAGAACAAACCTATATGAATGTGTTCTACTTTCTATAATTTTCGTGTTAGGATCTATTTCATCGTAATCTTTTCGTTTTCTCTTGCAATTTGATAATGTTATACTACAAAACTAACGCTACATAAGTAAAGTACCCGTCATTACACAGAATAACATGATGACAAGAACTATCATGTTACGGCAAATTATATACATATGCGAGAGTAAGCAGTACACTTCCTTTACAAACCTTAGAAGTCAGATGACTTATAAAAGAAAAAAACCGATAAAATTAATTAGCTAAAAGTAGAGTGAAAGAGAGATGCTTACCAATAATGCAGAACGTTTTTGAATTTGTGTATAACAAAAATGAGATTTGAAACTCGTGAAATATATTTTTACTCCACCTACACATATCAGCGTACCGCATGTATATCGATAGCAGTGTAATAATGCGGTTGCATATCAAGACATGCATATACATTCCCTGAAATATATTTTTTAACCATTGACATAATCTATTCCGTTTTACAACTATGTCTATTTATACCACATGTATTTTGGAACGGGATTTTAATTCTGATAAATGAACTTTGAGTTGTTTTCTCTTCTACCTGATCTAAGTAAATATATGGTATCTAATGCATCATAAGCAAATTTATAGCTCTTAATCCTCTTTTATTGATCCCTTAAAAAAGTTTGCACAGAAGACAAGATCAGATTTTATTAAACTCAGGTTGTAAAGTTTACATCATATTGAGCACATAAGAAAAAGAACATAAATAGAGAGTGTGATATAACACAATGCTTAACATGGATTACACAATTCGTAAAACACAATCTAAAATGTTCAATAATTTTTCAAGAGTTGTAAGTTACATGTATTCATTATTCGAATATATTTATAAAGGTTATTCCTGAAAATGTGAATATGAGGTATAATATATATTTCGTTTCCATCATGACAATAAGAATATGACAGGCGAGATAACAATAGTCATCGTTTATATCTTGTGAATGACTGACAGAGTGTAAAATATGAAACATTAGCCCACCAAGGATAACATAGTGAAATCATATCCAAACGCCCAGTTTAAAATTTTCACGTAAGCAATGATGTGTGCTTACAAAGGCAAGTGTATACTTACTGTGTTTCTTTTTGTGATGATTTCTTCCAAGAAACACGAAGTGGACAAACAAAACATAAATTGTGTACTTGTAGATGGTTTCTTATGCGAACGAGGACACGAATGAAATATTTCGTGAAATGTTTAAACCAAACGAAATATTTTTGTTTTCTTTTACCCTTATACTTGGATACAAATGTAAAGATCTGTACAAAGAATGAAACAACACGAAATTATGTTGATGCTTTGCCATCTTCGTCTATGTATAACACATAATCCCCAAAATAGCATAATCAGTTTAATGGAAAAAGTAAGTAATTTAAAACATTAATGTATATTTTACTTGTGTTAACATAAGCGATTCAAAATGAATGCATTCATGAAACTGCATGGTCATGCACTGCCAAAGGGACTTAGCTACCTACAATATAATATATATATATATATATATATATATATATATATATATATATATATATATATATATATATATATATATATGTGTGTGTGTGTGTGTGTGTGTGTGTGTGTGTATGTATATGTGTGTGTATTGGATACGGTCTGGTCTCTTAGAACATTATCCTTCGGTAATAATAGCACTTAATTTCTCTCTCAGTTTTCCCATTCCTCAAAGCCCGAAATTGCTTCCAAGCCGGTCATGGTATCGATGACTGATTGCAAAACAAATATAGGAATCTCTGCCTGGTTGAATTTGTGGTTGCTTTCCTTTGAATGTACCTCAGACGGGTCGTTTAGTAATTTTAGACAACAGACAGACAGTTTCCTTTTGTCCAGAATAGGGTCTATAGTCGTAATCTTTCGTAATCTTACATAATATGTGTTGACCTTATCCTAGGTGTTCTTAACTACCAATTAACTATCATAAGATATGTGTATACCTGAAGTATAAAACATCAGCATATCCACCCCAGGTGATCTTTTTTTTGTTACACCTTTTTACACCTGTAACAAACATCGGCTGTTTCTCTTGCCGTATTGTAATGAAAACCAAACTAATTTGGCATATATTTTAGAGATTGTGTCAGTTATTAATATAATAATATATCGATATATGGTAACAAGTTCAAAAGGATACGTTCGTATCATGATAAACATAATTAATTGTTCATATATTGACAATGCAATTAAAAAAAATATCTGCTAATTGTCAAGGATTGGAAATGTCCACTATGATAAAAAAAAACATCTTGAATGGGAATGTCCACTTTAAGAAAGAATGCCTTGAATGGAAGTGTCCACTATAAAAATGTGGACTTTCCCATTCAAGATATTATTTCTCATAGTGGGCATTCAATTTCAATTCAAGATGTATCTTTCTCATAATAGATATTCCCATTTAAGACAATCTTTCTCATAGAGTGCATTCCCATTCAAGACATTCTTTCTTATTGTGGGCATTCCCATGTAAAAAGACATTCTTTCTCATAGTGGACATTCCCATTCAAGACGTTCATTCTTATAGGTTGCATCTCTTAATATTGGACATTTCCATTCAAGGCATTATTTCGCAGTTTGCATTCCCATTCAAGATATTCTTTCTCATAGTGGACATTCCCAATCGAGACGGTCCTTCTCGTTGTGGACATTACCGTTCAAGAATTCTTTCTCACAGTAGACATTCTCATTTAAGACGTTATTACTCATAGTGGGCATTCCCATTCAAGACGTTCATTCGCATATTGGACATTCCCATTCAATAGTGGATATTCAAATTCAATATATTATTTCTCAAAGTGGGCATTAAATTCAAGACCTTCTTTCTCATAATAGATATTCCCATTCAAGATAGTCTTTCTCATAGAGTGCATTTCCATTCAAGACATTCTTTCTCATGGTGGGCATTCCCATTCAAGACAATACTTCTCAAAATGGTCATTCTCATTAAAGACCTTGATTCTCACAGTGGACATTTCCATTTAACTTGTTAATTCTCAGTGAATAATCCCATTCAAGACGTTCATTTTCATAGTGGGCGATCCCATTCAATAGTGAACATTTTAATTAAAGACATTATTTCTCATAGTGGGCATCCCATTCATGATAATATTTCTCATAGTGGGCATTTCATTCAAGATATACTTTATCATAGTGGGCATCCCATTCATGATATTATTTCTCATAGTGGGCATTCCATTCAAGGTGTTCTTTCTCATAGTTATCATTCCTATGCAAGACATTCTTTCTCATAGTGGAAATTCCCATTTAAGACGTTCATTCTCATTGTGGGCATTCCCATTCAATAATGGATATTCTCATTCAAGACATTATTTCTTATAGAGTGCAATCCCATTCAAAACATTCTTTCTCATATTGGACGTTTGGGTGGCCTAGCGGTTAGAACATCCGCCTCGGATGTGGGAGGTCGCAGGTTTGGTCCCTGCTGAGTCATACTAAAGATTTTGAAAATGCTTCTAACAGCTGCCTAGTATAGTATTTAGCATTAATAGATAAGTTTTAGGACTGGTTAGTCATGTTTCAGGATGGGACATCATTATACATGTCTGCGGCATGATGCCCCAGTGCTAGACATCACTATAAACTGCCACAATGCGGACATCGTAGCGATATGAACGAACAAATTTTAAAGCTACGTTAAAAATCCAAATCACACCTACCCACCCCTCATTCAAGACATTCTTTCTCATAGTGGACGGTCCCATTCAAGACATTGTTTCTCACAGTGAGCATTCTCATTTAAGACGTTCTTTCTGTTAGTGGGCGTTCTCATTCGAGACATTCTTTCTCATTCCCAATCATTTACAGTTTGCGGATGCAATTTAATTGCTCTATCCATTATTAGAATTTATGAAAAATTCTCTACGTTTATCGTGATAGAAACGTATCCTTTTGAACTTCATACTACATATCGATGTATAAATATATTAGTAGCCGCTACCCTCCCTAAAATGTAGGTCAAATTAGGCTGGTTTTCATTACAATACGGCAAGAAAAACAGCTGATGTACGATAGAGATCTGATGAGGTCTACTAATGAAAAAAATCCCCAACAAACACCAGATTTCTTAAGAGAATAATGAATCCTAACAGCAGTAAAGCGGTTTTAAAATATCTTCCTTTCCAACGAGTAATAAAAGATTTGATTATTAATTTTTCAGAACTTTTACCCCCACCCACATAAAGAAACTGAATGAAAAAATAATACAATTGTCAAGTATGAAATCAGAATGATACTTTTATCAAATTATATAAATACTTAACAATTTTACATGCATGAACGAATACCAGGTGTCAATTTTTTCAATATTATCAGATTTGTAAGCTCAGTGTAAGATGCATTTCCTGTATATAAGAGAGAGAGAGAGAGAGAGAGAGAGAGAGAGAGAGAGAGAGAGAGAGAGAGAGAGAGAGAGAGTTGAATTTACTGATATATTATTTCATTTTTATAAGGATCGTGGGGGCCCATGGTTAGTTGTACCATTGCGTAAGTTAAGTATTGTATCACTAACAGAATATTATGCTAATGTCTGCTAACTTCTTTGACTCTGCTGTGAAAAACTGTATTATAATTTCGATCATGTAGATCAACCGACGGTGCACGTTGGTAATGCGATATGCACTATACTGATTTATGTCTTTACATGTATATAGGCTTCTATAGTTTCCTTCAATAACTTAGGCTATGATTTTTAGTTAATGCCCCATGGTACCATGCTCATCAAATCTTCATGTCATATTGTCAGCTACGTCATATAGGATTCCGTTCTTGCCAGAGAATTCCTTTATATTTCGTGTATATTTATTCTCTGAATGGCCAAGTTACACCCAACATTTTCATTCTCATAACTATGTCAATAAGTTAATGTTGCGCTGTGTTAAATCTTTTGTTTTCTTTGATTATTTCTGCCAGTCCTTCATCATCCATTTAGTTTATACTATTGAATCCCTTGTTCTTCTCTATATAAATTTTACGATGATGGAATCGGGGTCCTTCTTTGTTTTATACCTTCTTGGAACTCAACCTGTGCGATCTCAATCTCATAATTATCAATCTATATCTTTACTATATCCCCACAGTACGTATGACTGTATGAATTGCATCTTCTCATCTGTCTTCTTTCATACTCTAGTCTGTAAGATTGTATCTTATTTAGTATTGCACATTTTTGTTTGCATGTGAAAGAGCTATTACAACTGATTGCAGCTGATTTTATTTAATTTCCTCTAATATGTATACACTTTTAAAACAGTTTATACAAAACATTTAATAAAGATACAGCCCTGGTGTTGTCATGATCAATTTTAAAATTTCCTCCACCTGTGTAGATTTCCACAATTATGCCGACTTTCCAGTCAAATGGCATATAGCTATTTCTGATTCGAGTGCATGAACATTGGAGAGGACAGTAGTGATAGGTGGAGATGTAGAAAGCAGGAAATAACAAAATGCATGTTGGCAAAAGAAATTTAAGAATCCCCTGAATATGCTACAAACCAAATTCAGGGGCAAAATTTAAAAAATTAGGAACAAAACTTCAAAGAGAACATAAATATTTTCTCCAGTTTTTAACTTTGAACTTTGTTTCTATTATTCAGTCCAACTCAAGATTGTAACAAATGTAAAAAGACCGAAAATCATGCTGAACTAAGGTCACTATAAGTGTGCAAAAGGGATTTTCCTTCTAAAATTCGAGCATAACCACAACAATGATGGTCATATAACGCTTAAATGTGAAGTCTGAGAAGAAAATAACAGGTAGATCTCAAGATACCTTCACTTTGGTATATGTGGTAATAGGCAATTATTTACTGCAATCATAATATCATTTTAATACACTGTATCTTCTGAGGAGTAAAATAGAGTAATAGATAAAGTAAGTCATTTGTTATGTAATGAGCTGGGATTGTGTGTCATTTAGTGTGTTACTAGCTAAACGTGTGCGTTACAATCTTGCATATATATATATATATATATATATATATATATATATATATATATATATATATATATATATATATATATATATATATATATATATATATATATATATATATATATATATATATATATCATTGTAGCTAGATCCCTTTGGCAGTGCATGACCATGCAGTTTCATGTCCGCATTCATATTTTCTCGCATATGATAACACAAGTAAAATATACATTAATGTTTTAAATTACTTACATTTCCCACTAAACTGATTATGCTATTTTGGGGATTATGTGTTATACATAGACGAAGATGGCAAAGCATCAACATAATTTCGTGTTGTTTCATTCTTTGTACAGATATTTACATTTGTATCCAAGTATAAGGGTAAAAGAAAACACAAATATTTCATTTGGTTTTAATGTTTCAAGTAATATTTCATGCATGTCCTCTTTCGTACTTTTCAAAGGAACCTATTCGATTATGGCATAAGAAACAATCTACACCTGCACAATTTTTGTCTTTTTTGTCCACTTCGTATTGCTTGGAAGAAATCGTCACGAAAAGCAACAACAGCCAGTATCTTTCTTTGTTCCTACCACAATTGATGTTTTATTTATACATCAATGTTTATTATGGAAATTTTAAACTGTGCATTAGGATCTGATTTCGCTATTTTTTTTCATTGGTTGGTAATGTTTCCTATTAAAACAAATATTGTATACTCTGTAAGTCATTCGCAAGATAAAAGCGATATATCACTATTTCTCTTGTTGTGTTCTTATTATCATGATCAAAACGAAATATTATACCTTATTTTCACATTTCCAGGACTAATCTTTATAAATACCATAGATTAATGAATACAGGTAACAGGTAACATACGACTCTTGATATATGATTGCAGGCTTTTAAACTGTGTTTTCCAAGTTGTTCCATCCCTGTTAAGCATTGTGTTATGATATCACACCCTATATTCATGTTCTTTTTCCTCTATGCCCAATATGATATCAACTTTATAACCTGAGTTTATTAAAGTCTAGTCTTGTCAACGGCACTACCGTTTTTTAAGGGATCAATAAAAGAGGATTAAGTGCTATAAATTTGCTTATGATGCATTAGATACACAATATTTACTTAAATCAGGTAGAATGGAAAACAACTCCAACAAGTTCATTTATCAGAATTAAAATCCCATTCCGAAATACCTGTGGTATAAATAGACCTCGGTGTAAAAAGAAATAGGTTAGGTCAATTTTCTGAAAAGATATTTCAGGGAATGTATATGCATGTCTTTATTACGTTCGCATTAATAACGATATAGATTAGTACGCTGATATGTGTAGGTGAAGAAAAAAAATTAATTGTCAGTATGTGATACATAGGTTCTAAAACACTCTGCATAATGCGCTCTCTCTCTCTCTCTCTCTCTCTCTCTCTCTCTCTCTCTCTCTCTCTCTCTCTCTCTCTCTCTCTCTCTCTCTCGTCTGACGTGTTTTCATGGCAGTGTATTGCTTACTGTCACATAGGAATATAATTTACCTTGATTTGATAGTTCTTCTCACCATGTTATTCTGTGTAATGACGGGCACTTTACTTTTGATACATTATTTTTGTAGTAGAGCATGAAATTGCACAAGAAAACGAAACAATTTCGGAGGAAATCGATTCTAACACGAAAAAACATGTGACTTGGGACACATTCACATAGGTTTTCCGATTTTGGGTTCTTTCTGTCTTACTTCTTAAGGGGCCTTATTTTTGTTTTCATTTGTCTTGCATATATTTGCCAAATAATTTGTTCTTGCGTTTATTCCAATATGAAACAAAAACGCTTTGCTTTTAAGGCCTAGGGGTGGAGTGGGGTGGGGATAAGCGATTATAGATTTTATTGTATATTTTTTTTTTAAAAAAATATCATGAGTTGCACCCTTTATTACGGCCCTGGCTTACAACTACTTTGTTTCTGAGACTTACTTTTTTACTGTTATGTTGATATATGATGAAAGATATGTTTTGTAAACCAAATAAGAAGTTTTAATTTTGCATCAATTATTTTCTTCTCAGTATTTTAAAGCAAGGGAAAAAATTGCCGACCGGTTCCAATGACATTACCGTCAAAGGAGACAGCTAGTATGTGAGAAAGGGCATGATTTTGTATAAGTTTACTAATGTAAGTCAAGTAAAGGTTTCATTTTTTAAATCCTTGTGAAAAGAGTATGTAGCCCTACTTGGATACAATTTTGGTCACCAGTCATTTTCGCTATTATGGTAGGTGTTACGAGTCTCTGGTCTTAAACTTGATAAAGAAAACTCAACAAATTTTGTATAATTTAAAACTTAATTTATTTTCCTTAAATGTGAATTAAAAATTTAATAACAATTTAAAGTATTGTAAATTAAATCCTAAAAGTCCTAAACCAGTTATATCACAAGTCCAAAAGTAGAGTATTCCGAATGAATTCCAGTGGTGTTCCAAATGAATTCCAATCTTGAAAGTAGTG